ACAAATCTAATCAAAACAAAACTAATCTAAATGAAACCAATTCAAACTAAACTAAATTAAACTAAACTAATCGAAACAAATCTAAATGAAACCAATTAAAACAAAACAAATCTAATCAAAACAAAACTAATCTAAATGAAACCAATTCAAACTAAACTAAATTAAACTAAACTAATCGAAACAAATCTAAATGAAACCAATTAAAACAAAACAAATCTAATCAAAACAAAACTAATCAAAACTAAAATAAACAAAACTAAACTAAATGAAATAAAACTAAATGAAACTTATTGAAACTAAATGAAACTAAACTAATCGAAACAAAACTAAATGAAACTAAACTAAATGAAACTAAACTAATCGAAACAAACCTAAATGAAACTAAAATAAATGAATTGGAACTAATCAAACAAAACTAAACTGTTCAAATCAAAACTAAATTAAACTAATTTGAACAAAATGAAACTAAACGAAACAAAGCTAATCAAAACAAAACTAATCTAAACAAAACTAAATAAAACTAATTTAAACTAAACTAAATTAAACAATTAAAATGTAACACTTTACAATAAGGTTCATTAGTTAATGCATTTACTAACATGAACTAATCAGGAACAACACATATATAGCATTTATTACTCATAATTGAACATTTACTAATAAATTATTAACATCCAAGTCCATGCGTGTTAACATTAGTTAATGCACCATGAGTTAACATGAACTAACAATGAACTACTGTATTTTCATTAACTAACGTTTACTAAAATGAATAAATACTGTAGTAAATGTATTGTTCAGTGTTTGTTCATGTTAGTAAATGCATTAATTAACATTAACTAATGAACCTTATTGCAAAGTGTGACCAATTAAAAATAAAAAACGCAATTTCTTTTTACTAAACTGAACTTAAGCAATCAACAAAAAACGAAACACAAAATGTAACAAATATGTGTAAATTAAATGTGTAATTTTTAACAGTTTTCACTACGGCTGTTTAAAAAGCAACACTGACGGCTAAAATAATTATCGCAGTATTTTTGTGCTACTGATAAGTGACGTGTGCTCCCAAACAAGAGAAAACAAGAGCTGATCGCACACACACACGTTGAAAAACTGCATCTGCTCATCTGACATCCACAAATTTGTTGTTGTGGATAAAGGAGTGAATGCAGAGCTTCAGAAAGCCTCATCAATCCAGCAGTCGTTCATCAGAAGAGCAGGATTGAGTCTGAATAGATGTAAAGGGGTCAGACCTGTGTCAGGGTTGTGCTTTTTCTCCAGCACACTCCAGACCTTCTCATGCTCGTCCTCTTCTCTACCAGACGTGATCATTTGACCTCCGCTAAAACACTCTTATCTGCCCTCTGCATCTCCGTCTGAGGCCTGGTCCTCTCAGAACCATCATTACAGCAGAAAGATTTCAAGACTGATATAATAAATCACTGACAGGAGATCCAGCAGAAACAGATATGGAGTGTGATCGTATCTTTTACACACTGACATCATGGCTGATGTGCGTAAGTTTGCTGAATGTGGACATCTGGAGAAGCCGATGGTGTGATTTTGGTGTTATGTGTGTTTGACTGATAAAATCTGAGCCTAAAGGAATATAACTTTACTGATTTGTTAATATTTCCAAAGTGTTTCTAAATTTCGCAAGATGTCATTTAGAAACGGGTAAAAATACACCAACTGATTAAATTAAGTTAATTAAATTAAATAAATTAAGCATGGTGGCACAGTGGGTAGCACGATCAAGAAGGTCGCTGGTTCGAGCCTCAGCTGGGTCAGTTGGCATTTCTGTGTGGAGTTTGCAAGTTCTCCCCGTGTTGGCGTGGGTTTCCTCCGGGTGCTCCGGTTTCCCCCACTGTCCAAACACATGCGCTATAGGGGAATTGAATAAACTAAATAAGGAGTAGTGTACGTGTGTGAATGTGAAAGTGTGTGGGTGTTTCCCAGTGTTTAGCTGCGGCTGGAAGGGCATCCCCTGCATGAAACATATGCTGGATATATTGGCGGT